GCACGGGCTGGGTGGACGGAGGAGCCCGGAGACCTCGGATGGGCTGTCCGCAGAGGCAAGTCCCGCCCCGCCATGAGCTGTGGGCCTCAGGCTGGGACCGAGGGGCTCGGGCAGGCGTCCAGGGAAGGCTGGGAAACTACCCTTTGTACCTAAACCCCTCCTGGGGGGCTTCCCCCTGCATCTGGACTTCCCCCACCCCGCCCGGTGGAAGAAGAGGAGGGAGGCTCCTTCCTGCCCCTCCTGCTGCCCCAGAGTCTCAGCCTGCCTGGACCAGGAGGGCAGCAGAGCCCGGGTGTGGTCAGCTCCCCCAGGGGGCGGGATGTAGGGTCAGGCCGGGTGCAGGGAACCTCCTGAGCTTCCCTGAGCTGGGAGTGAGGTTTGCAGCGAGGCAAGGAGGTCCACACCCAGCCGGACATGGAGGCAGCAGGGGCCTGCTTAGGAGACCACTCCCACCAGGATAGGGAGCTTCCTCCCTAGGGTTCTGGTGCCCAAGGGTTGTGGGTCTTCACAGGCTGTCTCCTGGGGCCAGAGCCCAGCTCGCGCTGAGCCAGGGGCTCTCCCTACCTCTCTGCAGAGTTCCAGGGCTACCCTCTGGTTGCCTTGCTGCCTGTAGCACCGCGGGGACTGACTTCCTCAGGCCCTCTGCAGCCCTCATCCCTTGGACATTTCTGTAGAAGTCGTCGTGTCTTTTCCTCCCCACTTTCCAGGACTCAAGTGCACACACCAGGCCTGGGGCTGCAGCTGTCTCGCCCCAAGCCCAGAGCCCTGAGAAGGCAGACCTGCTTAGAGACTGAAATTCAGAACTGGGGGCACTGGGATGGTCTGAATCAGATGTAAGCCCTCTCCTGGGCAGGAAGATGCTCTGGGGGCATGGTTGCTGCTCGAGCTAGGGCCCTTGTGGAGCTGACCGCCGGCATCACACTTGAGGTGAAGACCCTTCTGTGCGTGGTGGGCAGCGTCCTTCCGCCTGGCCAAGCCTGGAGTGAGGACCCTTCTCCACACCCTCCCAGGCCTTCTGTAGGGACCGCAGCTTGCTGACCACGCTGGCGCTGTCATTTCAAAACCTTGCTCTGTACTACTCAGAAGGGTTGTGCCAGGTCAGACAGGGGACTCTCCAACTCCTCCCGGACCTGGGCAGCAGGGAGCCTGGAAGTTCTGTTCTATCAGCTTCACCACTCCTGGCCCAACTTGAGAGCCTAACCATGCATGCGGTGGTCACTGGGAGGCTCCCACCCCACTCTGAGCTTCCTCTTGTCCACTCCCACTTGGCCAGAATTGCCTGCTGCTGGTGGCCAGCACCCCTCTAGTCTAGGATGAGCCTCTCAGGGGGGCTACACACGCAGATGCAGATGGGTGCTCCGAACCACACTACTTGTGCCATGGCTGCCGGCAGGTTGGGGGTCGACAGGGCCCTAGGGCAGCAGGTTGAGACTTTGGTCTCAGGGACCCACTTGTGGATTTTCTCCACATCTTCCTCCCTCAGCGCACAGTGAGTCAGGTTTTGTGTCGTCCCTGGGGCCACTTTCATTTCCCCTGGGGCTGGGCGGAGGCGAGGGCAGAAAGAGGAACTTAGCTCCCAGTCTTCTGAGGCGGGGGCAGAGCGGGTGCACGCCCACCTTCCTTGGTCCCTGGAGGCCACGCGGGGCCCTGCTTGGAGGGAGTCCTGCAGAGGGGACTCCAGCAGTGTGGAGGTGGCCCTGGACAAGTGCATCCGAGAAAGGTACCAGGACGGGGACTTCAGGGGAAACTGAGGCTCCGTGCTGCAAGGCCCCAGCAGGCCTGGAAAGACAGAAGGGGAGTCAGCTCAACCCTTTGTCTCTTATTTGCTGGGCGACAGACTCCCCTCTGAGGGCTGTGACGTATGATAGCATGGTCCTTTTTGTGTCTGACCCTAAGGTCTCAAGTTAAGGGCCAAGGGTGTGGCCAAGGGGAGGAAGAGAAGTCCTAGGAGTGGAGAGGGGCGGAAGGGGGCTCAGGACCACGGAGCTTCCGATTCAGGGCTGGGAGGGGTTGAGCAGGTGGAGGGGAGGAGCCAGGGTCCGGCTGGCCTGACTCCGGTGAGGTGGTGATTGTGAGGGGAAGGTGGGTGGCCGTTAGGCCTTGCCTTGGTATTTCCTGCAGCTGCAGGCAGCATGAGCCCTGGCGAATGTTAGGACCTTCCTAAGTCCTGTGTGAATGTGTGTCCCGCGGGAGGAGAGGAGGACCAAGAGTCTAGGAAGTGAACGATCCTGGAAGGTCGCATCTAGGTCTGAGGGCCACTGTCCTCACTGGAGGGAGGCTGCGTTGGTTGGTGGGAGTTCTCTAAAGATCTCGAGGTTGGGGGAAGCTTCTCAGAAGAAGACGGAGGAAGCCAGGAAGCTCTGAGAACTGGTGCAGAAACCCACGCTCCGTTGGAATGTTCTGCTGTCCTCTAAGGCCAGGCTTCCTGGAGGCCTGAGATGGGATTCTTGCTGAGGGCATTTCCGGCAAAAGGGGGTTGTTCTCATGGGACAGAGGTCCAGCAGTCCGGACCAAGGCAGGGAACAATGAGAGCAGGGTGGTGGACTCGGCTGGAGGCTGGCCTCAGCTCTATCTCTCAGGGAGCCCACCTTGAGATAAGACAGTCAGGTGTTCGTCTCTGGGTGTCAGGCAGTAACTGACTGTGTGCAGCCCTCCTGGAGTGAGAGTTGTCCTGACCTACAGCACAAGTAGTGGAGGGTGGTTTTTGGACACTCGGCTCTGTCAGCAGCTGGGGAATGGAGGCCCTGGTTTGGCCCAGGGCATCTGGGCAGAGGACCCATTGCATCCACTGCAGCATAACTCTCCTCCTCTTCTTTCCCCTGAACACAAAATGCAGCGACCCTGTGACAAGGAAGCTGAGGCTGGATAAGAGTCTTGGCCTTGAACACCTGGATGGACAGGAGAGGCCATCCCTCATGGCCCATGGCCCAGCTCCCTGGGCAGCCCCCCATCTACCTGTGGCTGCAAATCCGCTGAGGTGCCCTCTGGTTTTCTCCCACAGACCCCTTTGTCATGAACCAGGCCCTCTCCGGGGCTGCTGCCCCACCTCGCCGAGTGAGGCTAAAGCCCTGGCTGGTGGCCCAGGTGAACAGCGGCCAGTACCCAGGGCTCCAGTGGGTCAACGGGGAGAAGAAATTCTTCTACATCCCCTGGAGACACGCCACGAGGCATGGTCCCAGCCAGGATGGAGATAACACCATCTTCAAGGTAAGCCCTGGGCGGGGGTAGGGGCTACTGTCTGAATCTCCAGGGCATTTGTTCCCCAGAAGAATACACACACACACACACACACACACACACACACACACACACACACTCCTCATACATACGCCCCCCTCTCAAGGTCGCACTCCCAGTTACCTTGCAGCAGGTGACATCAGGTCTGGACTAAGGGGATACAGACATAGTCACAGGCTATACCTTTTCTTTTCTTTCTTCTTCTTTTTTTTTTTTTGAGTCTCACTCTGCTGCCCAGACTGGAGTGTAGTGGCACTCTCATGGCTACTGCAGCCTCAACCCGCTGGGCTCCAGCAATCGATCTTCCCACCTCAGACTTCCACCTCAGACTCAGTGTGCCACCATGCCTGGCTAAGGGGGTACACCTTTTCTAATGTGTACCCCAGAGCAAAAGAGCACCCAGGAAACCTTCCTGTAACTCTTCCTGACCCTTTGATCTTGTTTCACTCTTCTGGCACGTGAGTACATGTTCAGTGTGCATGTACACCAAAAGAAGCCAAAAATTCACGGATAATCTTTAAAAGTTTTTAGGTCAGGCGCCATGGCTCAAGCCTGTAATCCCAGCACTTTGAGAGGCTGAGGCTAGAGGATTGCCTGAGCCCACACGTTTGAGACCAGCCTCAGCAACTTGGTAAGACCTCGTCTCTACAATAAATCAAAAATTAGTCGGCCGTGGTGGTACATGCCTGTAGTTCCAGCTACTTGGAAGGCTGAGGCGGAAGGATCATCTGAGTTCAGCAGGTCGAGGCTGTGGTGGCCATGAGCATGCCCCTGCACTTCAGCCTGGGTGACAGAGAGAGACTTCAACTCAAAAAAAAAAAGTTTTTAAATGTTTCCTCCTTCAGTCCCTTCCTTCTTTAAATTTTTTTTTTAATTGTAGAGATGAAGTCTTGCTAAGTTGCCCAGGCTGGTCTCGAACCCCTGGGATCAGGCAATCCTCTCGCCTTGGCCTCCCAAAGTGCTGGGATTACAGACTTGAGTCGCTGCGCCCAGCCAAATTTTTTTTATTTTTCAGTTAACAAAATTAGAATTTTACATGTTTATTGGGTACATAGTGATATTTTGATACTTATTATGTATAGCGATCAGATCAGGGTTAACTAGCATATCCATCATCTCGGACATTTATCATTTCTTTACGTTGGGAACAAACTATTTTTAAAATATGATTAAAATATATCATCAATCTTTTTTATTGCCATATAATAATGGTGTATAAAAATGTAATAATGAGCTGGGCTCAGTGGCTCAGCCTGTAATCCCGCGCCTTGGGAGGCTGAAGTGAGTGGATTGCCTG